GTCAACTCTAACACCAACCTTACTACTACCAGTGGAAGTCAACAGGTTATGCCAGCTATTGGCAATGTGGTATACACCGCTGCATACAGTATACCCTACAAATCTGTTCAATTGCTTTTTAAACGGAGTCACGCCGGTGTCAAAGTCCGCGATCCGCGGTCCGTCGCGCGACCCCCGCAAACCGCGCGACGGATCGCGGACCCTGACACCAGCCTAAGATAGCCGATGTCAGACTTTGCGAATCGCGCGATTCGCTAGCGTCTGCGGTCGCGTCGCGGCCAGTGAATCACTCAATTGGCTGGTACCGCAACGCGACCGCGGACGCTAGCGAATCGCTAGTAGCGAATCGCGCGATTCGCAAAGTCTGACATCGGCCTTAGGTTGCGGCTCGTGCGACCGCGTTTCCTGTTGGAACGATACGCTCCACACCTGCTTCACAGGACTAATATCGAAAAGAAGCGCCGCTGAACCCTCCGCAACAAACAGAATGTATCGAAGTAATGTTCTGATATGAAAGATGCAAGCGATGTTACTTATCAAATACATTTGGTCAAGTAAACATCAACAGAGTGGGGTGGGAGGATAGGTTTAGTTGTTACGCTGGTATGCCACCAACCGGCGGTTATGCTTAGGTGGACGGCAGTGATCCTTGGGCTCGCAACGATGGCAGTCTACTCCACCTGGAGGCTAAAAGGTGCAATCGATCAGATGCCGCGTGGGGTGAGTTCGTCAGTTCTGAATTCGCCAGGGGTAATGCAGCAGTCAGCAGTTGGTGGAGCGTAGGAAGTCCCACAAGAACTCCATGGTTAATAACTGTATCCAAACCTCTTTGGTTGCATCTACACTCGGCTGCCATGAGATGGATACGAATCGATTGCGACCTACCAGCTCCGCCCACTTTACCGCTCGATCTTGGGTGTCGAGCACGGCTGAGTGTTCGCTTGAAGCCATCCGCATTCTGTGGACTCGGAGGGAGGGGAAGAGAACGGGGTGCTCATGGCCTTGGGGGAGGGGACATTCAGAACAGAGCCTTTGAAAACTGCGATGAGGTGACACTGGTAGTAAGCCCAGGAGAGGGGGGAACGCCAGGGAGAACAAACACTGCTCAGATCCTCTCCCAGACAGGGTGAATAACGGTCGAGGAATTCCTCCATGACTCTCTACCATGCGAGAGTAGTGCCGAGAGTGAACGTACGCGCGGAGAGCACAGACGGCTCGCGCATGGCGAGTGTGAATGTCCGCGCGGGAGATCGTAACTGATCAGGCGAAATCCTCGACGTGCCGTTGAGGAATCCTCAAGCGATATTCACCCTGCTCCAGAATCTGTTCCCCCCACCCCAAGGACCCAATTGTGCAACTGAAACACTTGCCGTTTTCAAGTAAACCCGTGACACGCAACGTGGCTGATTCAAACACGCACAGGGTTAGTGGGGCCATGGATCATGCAATCACAGCAAACTCGTCCAGACACGCCCCTTCCTCATACCAACAGGGAGTGAGGGGGCCCTCAACTGGCATCCGCTTTCACTTTCGACCGCTGCTACCTCACCAATTTCAACTGTGATTGTTGCTTTGAAATGGGATTTCCCTCGTCCCGGAGTGTTGCTCTCTGATCGGCGCCCATTGTCCCTTATCTCATTGCCTGCCTCTCAGACTTCTCCATAGCGTCGAAAAGGAGGCGCGTATTTTCTGGTGCCTTTGAAGGTTTCGTTCCGTTTTTTCAACTGGCAGTCCACTCGCATCCCAGTGACATTGCCACACCAACGTTGTGGTGAGGGGGGGGGGGCTTTAACAACACCAGTCACCACCAACTAATTTCGCCATTTTTTCAGAAAATCGAGGAGATGTTGAAAGGTGAAGAGGTGGTTCGCTTAGAAGCAGAAGGACTCCTTACAAAACCGTGTCAAGAGATAGGAACTGTCAAAGTCTCGAAGGCTTATGTCGAGGCGAGGCCACAGCACAAGGTGAGACCTGCAAACTTTCGAAAACCCTGGGCTGAACCAAGGGGAAAAAAGACTTAATGCAACGGTCATGAGAGGTGGTACCACTGTTACCGCCATGGTCAGTGGACCGAATTCCATCAACTGTAACCCCACTTAAAGTCAACAATATCCACCCTACTATTCTGAGACTGTAGGGTTCTTAATGGGTCCCACCCAGTTCTCTAACAAAGCAATCTAAATGTCTGAAACGCGGGTTCAATGGGAAATTTATTTAGAGAGGACAACAATAAAAGACGAAAAAGAAGGGGGAGGGCGCGTGTGTCGGAGTGAGTGGAATCTGTCCTACTGGTTAGCTCTCTGAAAATAAATGCCCTCGGTTCCCCCGGCCAGATCATTGGGGAGTCCGCGCCTAGTTTGCCCGGCGCTTGGTTTGTAGGCCACTCTTGAACAACAAGACTACCTCATCTCTATCAGACTATACTGGCACAATAAATGTTTCACATCACACATAGTTTGACCTCTGTAATTCATCGCAATAGAGCTTCTATCAGCTATGAGGTGAGCCTGACCCTCACCTTGTGACATCTTTCGAGACTGAAATCAGCCTCTATCCTTTATATGACTGCGCCCTCCAGTTTACGAATTTCAGTCGGCTGTAGTTTCGGGTGCAGGAACATGCATCGATCGAATCGCACGATCGCAAGAAGGAAACTGATAGTTAGGCCGATGTCAGACTTTGCGAATCGCGCGATTCGCTACTAGCGATTCGCGCGATTCGCTAGCGTCCGCGGTCGCGTTGCGGTACCAGCCAATTGAGTGATTCACTGGCCGCGACGCGACCGCAGACGCTAGCGAATCGCGCGATTCGCAAAGTCTGACATCGCCATTCTGAGAATGAACAGATAGATTCGAGAGAAGCTTGTCGCTCATTCTGGCGCTCATGTCTTCGGGGGGCATTCAAAACAGAGCCGATGGTAGGTGACACTGGGACTAAGCCCAGGAGAGGGGAGAAACGCCAGGGAGAACACAAATTGCTCACATCCTACCCCAGAATCCCTTCCCCTAGGCTTATGGTTAGTTCCAAGCACAGTAATTGGCTCACTCACTTGAATGCCCCCTCCCCAATGACATGAGCGCTGAGCTCCTCATGTAGCGGTCAACTGGCGCCCAAATTTGGATGAAAAGGATTTGACGGTATACGGTAGCCCCCACAGGCGCCAATTGGTGGGCGTGTGATGCACGTCCGTTGCGTCATGGGCCTCCTGACCGACGCCCGCCATTATGGAGAGCGATAATCCAGCTCCGACGCGGTTACCTTGACATGACATTACCTACCCATGACCTTTATTAAAAGGTGATGTTGATAAACACTAAAGTAACGTATACTAGGCGGCATTATAGTTCATCAGTGCCGCATTATGTGAAGGAACGAAAAGTGAACGTTCTAGAAAGACATCTGCGAGGTTATCAATGGAGCAGTTGTGTGCAGACCAATACCAACCGTTTTCCACGACGGTGACTGGCTCGAGGTATCTCCTTTTTCTGTTTGAAACCACTTTCTCCAAATTCGCTACATTGAATTGGCTCACAGGAAAAAATTCGCAGAATAGCACCATAGTAATGAATCGGAGCGAAAGCACGACCATGACGGGTGTTGACGGTGGCTAGGGTAATGCCCAGATGCCCCTCCTGCGCGAAAATGTTGACGATCTATTAGTCCTTCTCCCTAGACAGGTATTGTGAGATACTCTTCGTTTGGAAACAGCGGGGCAACCCCACTGGTCACATGCAGAGGCAGACGGTTGCGCGCGACGTCGCACATATTTGAGGTTTGCCGCGCGGTGACTTTTTGTAATGTAGATGCCTCAGTGACATCACCTTCACTACTTATCTAGGCGTGCGCAGTATCGTCGTTTCTGCGGTGCCACGAGCCATACGTCGAGCGAACACCTCAAACTAGTCACTGCGCTGTTTTTTCCTAGGATTTTCGCCCATATTTGTTTGACGTCGCGGGGGGACCTGCTGCTACATGGCATTTGCGTATCAATTCACCGACTACACTCATGAAGCAGATCGCAGCCTAATCCCTAGAGTTTTTTTTGCATCGTCGTGGTTACCGTATCGGTTGTGGCTCAACCCAGCGGTCGTCGCATCCTCCTGACGAATCGCTTCACCTACTTATTTGTTCCCATCACTCACAGGTTGCCGAATAAATGATAGGGGTTAAGTTCCTCCACATAACCTGCTTTACGTTTTTCTTAACATCCTCATCAGTGAAGACTAAGTACCTCCAAATTCCAACAGTTCACTGGTAACGGACACAAACCATTTCACGGAGCTTTCCCGACCAGCCCCTTGTTGTCGTTTGCCGACAAAAACAGTGCGATAGGTGCACCTCGTGGTGCTCGAGGGACACAAAGTCCACTTCATTGTACGTGAGAAGACAAAGAACCTACAAATGCTCTGTATTAGGTCACAACTGACCCCCCCCCCTAAAGAATATCTGACGTCTTGATGAGTCCACTTGACACTTTACAGTCCACCTGCACAAAACTGCACGTCGCACTCTGCTTGGTCCACTTCTGTCAATTTGGCAATCCTGACCATTGTACTTATCCTTTGGGCGCTGACAGATTCTCCAACATAATCTTCTCCATTCGTGTGCAGCTGGAAGGCGAGGGAAGCACCGCCATTTCGCTGGCTCGTTTTCTGACGCTGGCTCCGCAAGGAGTAGAGCAGGGTTCTACTTCAGCACCTTAATGCTTGACCTCTGTTTGTTCACTTACGTGGCTGCTCAGAAACTCTATTCAGGAGACCTTGAAGAAATATCTATGGCAACAGAAGCATCAAAAGCAGGACGTGATTAGGTACGTGTCATTACCGCATACGTTTCCTTTTCTAGTATGAAATTTGGACTACTGGAAAGCACCTGTTTTCCTTATCAACCTCTTCAAATTCACCCACTGAGTGCAAATATTCCTTCACGCCAGGGTTGTAGGGACCTGTTAAGTTTACCGGTCGGTATTTCCCAGCTGCACCCCTACAAATCAATCAAGTCCATTAACATCTCATCGGTTTTTTATCACTAAATTGTTCCACAAGCGTTAGAGCGCACCTCATTTCGAAAAAATCGGGCTTATATGATCTCAAGTTTCTTTGGAAATAAATTACGAGCTCCACGGTCGGACTACGCTCCACTGGTTTGACCGTAGATCCACCTCCCAAAAACCTTCATCCTTCGATGAGCAATGGTGTCTATGGTGTCGTAGAAAAACGTGGTACCACGTGACACACATCTAACCCCGCCTCCTGCTCAACAAGAGCGCGGACCTGGGCAATATTCTGCGATCGCTGAAGCAAACTTGAAGCATTCCACGCGGCTATTCTCCAGTGCTTAACTATACCCGCTGCTACGTGGGACCTCCTCTTCCAACCAAGGGAGATATGACCACCTGTTGAAGAATCGTTGACCTGGTCTGGTCCCTGTTTCAAATAGTCAGTTAGGAATTCATATAATAGAGTGATCACAGGGTACTTGAATCTCTAAAGAAGCTATCCAGTAGAGGAAAGAACTAGTTACAATTCAAAAATCGAAAAGTTACTCAATTTTTCTCTTCTGCCAGAATAACTGGGGATTTTCAGAAATGATGTTGTGCAATGTTTGCTAAGCAAAATTAAACAGCAGAACTTTCTATTGACAGGTCAGTCGCTTTATTAACCCTCTGAGTAGCGGTGACATTCATACAGTGCATTGTGGTGGTATTTCTCACGACCAAACTTTCCGCAATTGCGGACTCGAACATCACATGTGTCGACTGGGCGGAAAATCGTCGTATAACTTGCAGTCCCGTATTTTGTGAAAGGATTGGCTAAATGGAAGCAAAAACGAAGTCGTGCTATGGTCGCGCAATTTACGACATTTACTTCGGCGGGGGAAACAGGGCGGCGATTGCGTAACCGCACTTGGGAGCTCAGAGAGTTACACATCACGTAAGATGCTCAAATGTATGGCAAGGTGGGCAAAGAAATTGACCGCGGGGAGCTATCGCCGTCAGCCAAAGCTTTGGCGGTTCAGCTTCACCTCAGAGGCGATGCATACGATAGCAATAATCCGCAAGAACGGATTCTCGTTTTCCCGTTTACTGCCGTGTTGGCGAGATAGTATGGCACCTGAGACATTAACTTGAATGCTCTGCTTCTCTGCCTGAAAGGCTAGAATCCGACGGCGAGGGAAGACTTGCCGTGGCAGTCGGACGGGGGGAGCGAGGCAGAGGCACAAAAGCGCTCAAATGGACTGGTAAATATGTAACTATGGGCTCGTTCTTCGCCGCGAGGGCGTCAGTTTCATTACTTAACGGCATGACTCCTTTTGCAGTGGGCAGATTTTACCCTTTCCAACACTGATGTTATGGCTCCCTTCTTTCTTCTTCTTCTTCTCCCTAGCGTTAGTCCCGCGCAGTCGCAGGGTCCGCTGTTTTTGTCAGCCGTCGCCACTTTGCTCTGTCCAGGGCATCTTCCATCGTGGCCGCGACCTCACCTAGGTCCTTCTTGATTACGTCTTTCCACCTTTTCTTCGGGGCTCCTCGCGGTCGCTTGCCTTGTACTTCGAAGTCCATCGCTGTTCTTATCGGATGGTCCTGTGGCCTCCTTAGCACATGCCCATACCATCGCAGACGCTGTTCCCGTACCTTCAGCTGGACAGGGGCAGTCTGCATGACCGCTCTGACATCCTCGTTTCTAACCCTGTCCAGCCGCGTCCAGCCGCAGGCCCATCTCAGCATCCTCATCTCAGCGGAGTGAAGCTGCCTTTCGTGATTCTTGTTCAGGGGCCAGCACTCGCTGCCGTATAGCATCGCAGGCCTTATCACTGTCCGGTACACCTTTCCTTTGAGCGCTCTGGAGCACCTTCGATCGCAGAGGATTCCAGTGGACTCCCTCCATTTCATCCAGGCCGCGTTGATTCGTGCCTTTACTGCCTGATCCACACTTCCGTCGGCTGCCAGATCGCTCCCGAGGTATCGGAAGTCCTCCACTCTTTCGATGGTCTCACCATGGCCGTCCACGATCGGCTCTGCACCCTCTTCGGAGCTCAGGAACTTGGTCTTCTTGACATTCAGCCGTAGCCCACCTTCTGCCAGGACTTTCTGCCATTTCTGCACCTTGGCTTGAAGTTCCTCTCTACTATCAGCTATCAAGGCGACGTCGTCAGCATAGAGGATAGTCTTCAGTGGTCCCTCCATGAGCCCCTTCACCAGGACATCTAGTGTTAGGAGGAAGAGGAACGGGCTCAGAGCTGACCCTTGGTGCACCCCGACCGTGATGTCCACCTCCTTCGTTAGGCCGTATGGGGTGCGTATAGCTGCCTTGGCTCCTTCGTACATATCCCTCCACCAGAGATGATGGTGTTCTGGCACATTCCGCTCCCTAAGCGACCTCCATAGCACTGCTCGCGGTAGCCGGTCGAACGCCTTCTCCAGGTCGAGGAAGGCTAGGTGGCAAGGTCGGCGCTTTTCGCGATACTTCTCCATCACTTGCCTAGCGATGAAGATGGCATCTGTTGTAGACCTTTCGGGCATGAACCCGAACTGTTCCTGGGAGATCTGGACAAGGTCCCGCAGTTTCGAGTCGACCAGGCGCTCGTACAACTTCATGGTATGCGCAGTCAACTTGATGCCGCGGTAGTTGGAGCAGTCCATCGCGTCACCCTTCTGCTTGAAGATGGGGACGATAGTACTTGTTCTCCAGGCATCCGGCATCCTTCCTTCGGCAGTCACCGTATTCAGGAAGCGGGTGAGCCACCTCACCCCGTGCTCTCCCAGGGCCTTCCAAGCCTCTATGGGTACTCCATCTGGACCAACTGCCTTTCCAACCTTCATCTTCCCAAGTGCACGCCGAACCTCATCCTCTGTCCAGAGTGCGATGGGACCAGCTGTGGCCTCTGCCCGTGAGTTGTTCTCGTGGGAGAACTCCTCGTTCAGAAGACCTCTGAAGTACTCTTCCCACCTCCTCCGAACTTGGGCTGGCTTTCTCAGTATGGCGCCGTTGTTGCTCTTCACGCTCTTCACCACCCTGATATCTTGAGTAGCCCGATGCCGGGCTTTGGCCAGTCTGAAGACGAACTTCTCTGCGTTTCTGCTTTCCAACTTCTCGTACC